CAAAGCATCGATAGACGGATACTCTGCTACTTGTCTTATTAATCGCGAAGAACTTATATGCAAAGTGTCAATTCAGATAATAATATAATAGCCGAATACTTCTCATGCCCTGCTTATTAATCGCCATGATTTTAATTATTCCGTAACATGTCTTATTAGTCACTAGGGAATTCTTACATCAAAGTATCGGTAGAGAACAACATTTCCAATAATCAATAACGGATATTAATATTTTATTATTACAAGAGATGAAGCCCCCCCAGGGAAGTAGTTCCACTTCGGTTATACCCTCAGCAGCCAACTTCCTTTTTTCCGCCTGGGAGAAAGGTCATTTATATAATGAATTTTATATTAATATCACCATTCGAATTAGTACTCAATTTGCCTCCTCGCGAATTATCACTATCTACGATCAGGTGATCAAGTCACAAGAGCGCAACTACCATCAAAAAATTTACGGACACATGACTGCAGTGGGTGAAATGCTAAATTTTAAATTTTTGTTAAACTTAAATCTTACATATAGAAATAATCACGTGTCCATAAAATTTTGATGGCGATGCTGGGAAAAATGCAAGAGCGCCCAATCCAAAATGAATTTTTGACCAATCAAATAATTCCGTATTAAATAGCAAAATCGACTCTGTAGTTTATAACTTCCCATTTATACAAACTGTATTAAACCGGTATGGACATAGACGAAGAAGTCGATATCTGGTATCAAGTTGAAGGTCGTGCATCGGCGTTAATAGAAGGATTCACTGGGCAATTCGTCAATGCACTGTTAGAAGAAATCGTTGTAAAAGAAAAGTTGCAGGTCGCCGCATCAACGTTGCAGCCTTTTGTCAAGAAGCAAAATTCCGACGAGAAGAAATCGTTGCGTGAGCTGGAAGACGAACTTTGTCGCAGCCAAACGTTGAATTTCAAAGATCTCGTCACAAAACATGACATTTGGAGAAGGAATCCCATCATCATTCGGCTGCCAGGTACGTTGCTTTCGTCGCGGCATTTCATTCACGATTATTACCACTCCATCCCACTACTCAACCATCCAAATCGACGTTTCTCGCTCGTTTGCCTTCCATCCCTCCAGCTGGCACTTCTGGTGAGTGATATTTTTATTTACAATGCCGCATCCGGTTGTTCATGCTCGCAACATGTTCGGTGTCGACGCGCCGCCCGCCGTTCACTCGATTTTTCACATTTCGCGTTCGCGGCGTTGGTTCATACTATTTGCATGCCGTCGTTTATCCATTCCACTCTTATTCAATTTTATTTATTTTTTGCAGCCACTCCTATAAAAATGAAGATCGAAGATGCTTTTCCCAACGGTGTGTAGAAGTAAATCCAAATTTAGAGATGTCCTATCTTACCTGACGTATTTTATCAATCACCAGGATTGCCATACAAAGGTCCAAGTTCTTTGCTTTATACTGTCGGTTTGAACTGGAAATATCAACTACATCCGGATTTGAAACGACTATTGCGACGTCACCTTAAAGCACATTATGAACATTACAATCAAAAGCAGTTTGACAAAACGAATATCCCACTCTTTCTATTCCTCTCTGGAGCTGGCACTGGAAAGTCTCGCAATGGCTCCGAATTTCACCAGACAGCACTCTCATGCTTACAAGAAGAGGACTATGAGTTGAGAGAAAGAATAAACAAGGCCTGGGTATTCCATGTTAGCTTTGAGAATGGCACCAGCATATTGCCAAATGATGAGAGCAGTGCATACCGAGCTGTTGGCAATCGGATGCTCTTACAACTTCTTGCAAATGACACAAGTGACATGCAGCTAGCTGACATCATTGATAATTATGAGCAGCCAGATCCATGGCAAGTTTTAAGACTGGTTGCCAAGTTCAAAAGCATGTCCTTGAAGGAGGAAGCTACAGTCATCTTGGTTGTTGATGGATTGCAGACTGTTATGAAAACACCTGCAGATGGGCATGAAGCAGGCTCTGACTTTTACCAAACTTTGACAAATATTGCAGATCTTGCATTAAAAGGTGCATTTCTAATCCCCTGCTGCACTGCAACAGTTACCAACCCTGTAGATGATGCTTTGAAATATACACATTGGAATCATGTTGTCCTACCAATGGCTACTCTGGAATCACCAGAAATCTATCAGAATGGCATCTGGAAAAAGGTTTTTGATGAAGATGACCACTTAATCAAAATTCTTGTGAGTGACTGTGGAGGTCATGGAAGGGCTCTCGAATCTCTTCAAGAGGTTCTGCAGGAAAATGATATCAAGAGTGCCAATGTTGATTTGTTGATGAACAATCTATATGAAAAGCTTCATAACCGGTACTCAGAGGCAGTCAAGATTTCCACCCGTGAAGCACAGGCAATTGCACGTGCAGCATTGACCCACACTAAATTGGAGTTCAACGAAATTGTCCCTGGCACTGATAGATTACCCTACAAACTTGCTATTCCTGGGTTGGTTCGATATTATCAGCCAGGCAGTGGCACAAGTGGATACTTTGATTTGCCATACATATGGATATGGATAATGTCATATAAACCAAATGAAGATAGAGATATGCTTCTTACAAATTGGCATTTCTGTGACTATGGGGAGCACCAGTCAAAGATGGATTCAAGATATCCACCTGGTTCTCAATTCTGGCAACACTTTGAACATTTTGCTGCAACTTTTCGTTGCTTGAAGTCCAAGGTGCTAGATGAGGGTGGATTGACAAATATCTCAACAGTTCATGCTGGAGCGCGATTGAATGGTGATGCCCAATTTATAAACCATCATCTAGAGCTAGAGGTCTCCTCTTACCAACAAGATACAAAATCAGCAAGCTATCCTTCTAATATGCCATGGAATATTGCTTGTGAATATGAAACAGTTGATATCAGCCAGGGGAGGCACTGTATTCTCAATGGAACATCAGCACCAAATGGTGACTCATTTCTCTGTTTGGACTCAACACCAGCCATGAATGAAGTCCACCAATGCAAACTGCTAAAATCAACATCAATTACAGAAGCTGACTACTTAACTGAACGAGCAAAATCGGCATCAGCCAATGACTTCTTTATACTCTACACAACCAAAAGAAATGTTGATGTCAACCTTCCAAATCTCTCTGCAATTGTGGATGGATCAAATTGGAAGGATTACTTTGGCCCATTTGCTGGCAGAGCATTTATTTTTGCTAATGAAGGTGTTCTCAACATCAACAATTGCAGTCGTACAGACCTCATTCGAATGCGGAATATTGGTGAAGGAAAGGCTGATACAATCCTCAAAGAAAGGAGTAAGAGGAAGTTTGATAGTGTTGAAGATGCAAGATCGAGAACCACAGGCATAGGCATGAATACATTCAAGCAGTTCCGTTACTGTTAATGAATGATACTACTACCAAAACTTCCAAATAGCAAGTTCAAGATGGTAATGATATTGAACTTTCGCAATAGACTTTATGTAAACGAATTTTCTTGCTTTAACAGCTCTTTGTTTTGATAGTTCATTAGTAGTTTTCTTTAACAGATTTCTTTAATAAGGAATCATAATCTTTTGCCCCCAATTCATAGCATGCAATAAATGAAACAAATTCTCAGATGTTCACTTTGTCTGGTTTGTTGCAGCATGCCCCCAAATCTGGGAATTGGCCCATTCTAAGAACGGGCTGGCCCGTTTTGGGATTGTCACTATTTCCATTTTATCACATAAGATGTATTATGTTGGCATCATCCAAATGTAATTTATTGGTGCACGGGATTATTGCAACGTGATAATCCCAGCATGGGCTCCAATAATAGAGACAGGAGTAGTACATACCACATCAATTATTTGTTGCATACCAGCCTGTATTAATATTAGTATGTTAATTTAATTCGCGAAAATATGGTTCCAGCAAAACGACTTAATATCACCGGGACTAATGTAGTTATTCTAACCAAATGGTTTCCTACGTGAAATAACGATGTCTTTTTATGCAATCGGAAATTTCTTTCCATTGCGAAATAAAATCACATGGTTGCATCCCAACACTACAGGTAAATAAGCTATTTCCTATAAAAAGTACCAAAAATAAAGTTTCTCGTTAACTGAACAATATAAAGTCCTGGCGTGCACTGATTTTTATCAGTAAAATCCCAATATAAATAGCTCAAAAAAAAAAAAAAAAAAAAACACCAGGTGGTGCTGTCTCTTATACTTGCTATATATAACAGTTATTGTATGAACCATCATTTATTATTATTGGAAATTGTTTGAGCTGCCATTCATCGTTCCGATTTTGGAAGATCTGTTGAGTTAGATAGTATATGTAAGTTTATCAGAAATACTCACTTTCGCTGCACATAATTCGACTAATAATAAGCCGTTTAGCAGATACACAAAGCGCTGGACTGTTGTAACAGAATGATAAGGACTCATGTAAGAAGATAACGTTGCTGGGAGATGGCTTTACTGTTGTAATTCTCGAGTTGGTTCTGCTACTCAGACGCGGACGCGGAGGAATGTTATTTTGGTTGGCTTTTACCAAAGACTTCAAAAAAGAATTTATCCTAGCGATTAATAAGAAATTGATTAAGAAGTAACGAACTTTGCTTGGAATGGATAGTACCGAGTTTAGAAAATATAACAACATTTATAGGCTTAGTGCGTCTACATACTCCATATGGTGGTGTTACTGTTGAATTGAAAGCAGACTTCATGCTTTTATATATACTACAAGTTGGCATAAGACTATTTACCATTAAATTATCTCTCAGAACTTGGTAGAGCAATGTGTCAGATGGATAGGAAAAAATATCGGGAACCTGTAAGAAACGCTCGATAAAAGAGATTGAGCACATGAAGTAATAAATAAGCCATGATATCCCTAGTAGAATACAAAGTCTTTTCATTGTCCGTATTCCTGGCAGAATGAAATCTACAATGGACATGCAATCTTGTAATGAAATCGAATGCAGAAAACAAACTGTTCTGAAGGACTTCAATGTCCAAGTGTGCAATAGCTTGCTGAAATAAATTAAGAAGGGCATTGAGTATATGTTGTGTCGACGATTGTTATCCGCGTAATTTAAATATTTAAATATTATTTATTTATTTATTATTATAAACCTGCGCAACTATCTAATGAACACCGATGATTTTGAACAGACAATCCAATTGATGGTTATCCCGTCTATTTTTGCTTTCGCGGCAAAAGATAGAAGAATTAATTATCTTGGTAATTTAGCTCATTTAAATTTTACAAGTTACTCACTCGCTTAGTAACGACTTCTAATCTTTTGGAGTCAATTATTATTATTATGGCTAAGAAAAATGTTGCTATTCAAGAATTCAACAAACGAGTTACATTAAATATTGAGGAAGCAGCCAAAAAGGGAGGTATTTGGGGAAACTAATTGATAGTTTGGCTTGCTCCCGAGAAGTTATGCACTGGTATTATTAAGCTGTTATTTTATACAAAATGAACAAAATGAACACACAATCGTTGAGTTGGCTGTTCACCTTGTCTTCAGATTGTTTTTTCTTAATCCCAGGCAAATTTTGGTGGATCGATTGGACGAGACTTGCTGGGCATAGCAGTTTTCCATTTGGCATGTGAACCTTGTAGTGTCATAACACAAATGCTACAAAAGCCGCAATGGCGCCGACAACCCTTAATCCCGTCAGTGCGTATTTAACATACTTCTTTTTCGAGTTCCAAAGGTCCTTCATCTTACTCAACTTTGTCGCATTTTCTGCCTTTACGCTTGCCAGCACTTGCTCGTACTCTGCTATAAGACGTTTCAACTCTTGTTCGCTCAATTTTTGTTCTTTCAAAATCTCCCCCATCTTTTGAACTTTTTCCTCAAACTTTTGGTTTTTTATCTCGACTTCGCGCTCGGTTGACTTTAATTCATCGTAAAAACGTCGCTCTTCGACAATTTTATCCAGAATTTCAAGTTCGGCTTCCGGTTTAGAAGAATTAAAGGTAAATGCCGTTCTCGACGACCAGTTACTAGAGAGGCGATTGATGGCTGAAGGGTAGTAATGGTTACGATAACTTTTTATAACGAGAGTGGCCTCGGGTGATTTGATCATCGCCATGACATATTCGTATTCAAAGATTTCAATTGCTTGGTCAAAGTCTGCTTGGGTCCGCTGGAAGAAAAAAAAAAGTTACATAAATCAGAATATATCCAAAGGTGTTTGCTAGTAAAACCAGAGATACTTACAAAAAAGTTGCCCTCTTGTAGTCCGACATTTACAAACGAGTTCCAAAACCTCTTTGCCAAATTCTCATGAAACTCGCATAAAGCTTTTTCATTCTTCTTTCGATAATTGCTCTCGATTTTCTTAACTCCCTTGCAGAATTCGATCTCAAACTCGTTTATCTTTCGTGCAGACCCAACCAACATTGCCATGAGCGATCCCAAAGCTTCTTCAAAAGCTTCGGCATGTATATCGGCAAACTTTTCCCATGATATTGGCAATGGAGGTAGTTTCCGTTTCATCATAACTTCATACAGTCTTCTAGCACGGTGAATGGATTTGTCTGCTATAAAGCGAATTACAGCTTCGTATTCAGAAGGGACTGCGATCATGCAATTGTTCGTAGGATCGTTCAGCTGTTTGACACTGCTTTCGAGAAATTGAGCAAACATAATGCCGTTCATGTAGGCCGGGCCGATATATCTCGGCGCAAGCTTGGACAATATGGATGTCACAGCTTCGGTAGACGTCCTTCTGAATTCTTGAGAGAAACGAGATGGATGGAGAGTGTCAAGTAATCTGAGATCGTCTGATAAAACGCCGGGATGCTAGTTATTGTGTTAATTAATGACAACGACAAACTGTAAGACTTTTTTTTCCCCTGCTATATTATCGACAATAATCTGCGGGAAAATAAAGAAGACTTACTGCTATAGGATACACATCAAAGTCTCTGAAGAATTGCTGGACCGAGTTTGATGCTAATTCGAAAATATTATTAATACAATGTCCGAACCTTGTGTCTTCCATTCCTTTACTATGCATGTTCATTAACTCAACTGACCTTGTCGATTAACCTTATCCAGCTGACTTAAGAAATACTGCTTGAAACTATCTGGCTGTTTAAAATGAAAATCTCTCAGCAAGACCGCCAAATGCGGATAAAAGTTGCAATCATCCGGTGGATGTATACGCTTTGTCAGATCGGTCATTAAAAACAACTTTTCCACATCCTTTTTCTCGACTACTCCATTGACGTTGTAGACAAGCACAGAGGAAATGGCAAGACAAAGTACAAAAAGCATTGTAGCCCATGTTTGGTCCTGTTCGGGATCGTTTATACCTTCACAGTCGAGTATGATAACTCTCTGACCGTTAAGAAGAAACGGCGTATCCCACATGTAGATCCCACGGGTACACCCATGAACTGTTGCTCCAAGTTCAAAGCCGTCAATTCTGCCGAGAAGCAAATTTGCTAGAAATGATTTACCTCGACGAAATGAACCGACTGGGTAAAATGACGTGGGCATGATATAGAATATGTAGTTTTGGTCATTGAGTAAAAATTAATCTCTCGAGATATGATTTGCAACACTGCTATCAAGTTTAGGATCAGTTAATTACCGACGGCAATGACTGCAACCGGTTCCTCGATTTCTTTAATAATGGTCAATGCATCTTCCATTATTTGAATGCTTCCTGGCTGCGAGTTGTTTCCTTCCCAGTTTTTCACATATCTAAGTAACTGGATCGGTGCACCTTCACGATATGGGATTTCGTTACTGTTGAATGGAATTCCAGACCTCATGAAACCAACAGACGTTCGTATATGGGTGTTGTGTATATTATATTATTGAATACACAGTAATGGCAACTATCTCGTTGATAGTCGAATATACCTCACCAGTTACCTTTGTTGATTAGTTGGTTTGGTGACTAGTAATCGCAACTATGTTTATAAGCTCTCTCTGATAAGTAAAACAGCGAAGATGATTTAGTGACTAATAATCGAGGAGCTTTTGAGACACAGAATTCTGCGGCTGATTTACCAAATGGTGTGACATCCTCAGCTAAGCTATGTTGTTCAACAGTTAAAACAGACGTTTTGATGGTTTGGATTTGTTTACCAATATCCTGGTCGAGAAGCAATTCATTATTCATTTTTAATAGAAAATATTTGTATTACGGTCCTGGCCATATCGAGTTAGTGTACAGGGTAAAGTTTCTAATACTAAAATCGCTAAACTCAGTCACTCACGTGCAGGCAATGAGAAAACAGGAATTTTTATTCATTGACAAAGAGAAATTGCCCACCAATGGCCCCGAGTATAACCAGTAACAATGACGTGTACTTGTGACGAAAACTATACAATGCCGCGAGCGATAATACATACAACACAGCAGCAATGGCACTCTGCGATCCTTCTACGCCATTCGTACCGGTATTAACCTCCCCATCTGGTCGCACAAAAGTCAACGACCCTTTTAACAAATCTAAGGCGGTTATCGCAATGATGCCAACCACAGTCCCTGTAATGCCATCAAAGAATGCTGCCAATGCTTTATTCCGGACCACCCGTTCTAGTTGGTGATGACCAAGTATAGTAAATAGGAAACATGGGAGAAAGATGCCTAAAGTGATCAAGACGGCGTTGACAAACGCCCATCCAACTCCGCCAAAGTTGATACCCGACTGGAACCCGAGAAACGTAGAGAACATTACAAGTGGCGATGGAAGGACATTTCCAATTGCAATGGCATCGAGGAATGCCTGCTTAGTTAACCATTTGCCGATTTCCACTGCTTCAGTTTTGAGAAAAGGTATGGTCGTCTTGTGAGATGTAATTAGAATGAAAAAGCACATTGTGATGTTAGTTTAACATGAAAGCTCAATCAAATTGCTCGGTGCCTAAATAAAGACCTCGAAACCTCAATCAAATTGCTCGAGTATCTGTATCTTCCGAATGCTCTCTCGTCATGTCGTACTTACGTATGCGCCACCAAATGAAAGACTGCCAGCCAAAAGCCCAAGTCCAAAAATATGGCCAGGGTCAGTCACTTTCGCAGCTCCAACACCCAATGAAGATGGCGATGGCCATCCTTTGTATTTGACGACTAGACCAAACCCAACATACTGCAACGCAAGTAAAATTACTGCTGCCCAATATAATCTCCTGTCTATCAATACATACGCTATGCCACCTATGCCTAGTGAAATAAAAAAGTTTATGCGTAATGCAGATTGAAAGGCAGACATAATGGCAAGACTGACGAGGAACCAATTAAGTTTTTTCGTTTTATGAGATACAAATGCATGAGTGCCTATCTTATGGACAGCTCTTAAGACCATGGCTGCTACTATGGGCTGCAAAGCCCTAAACGAAGCGTTAAAGTAAACATTATCTATGCCAATTAAATAATAAATGTAAGAAAATAAAAGTATTAACAAAAACCCTGGTGTACAAAAACCTAACCCCCCAAGAATGCCTCCTATTCTCCCCCCAGACAAACACCCAAAAAACATCGCCAATTCGGTCGCCTCTGGGCCAGGAAGGATTTGGTATACTCCAAACACTCTATTGAACCTGGCGGGGGTAATCCACTTTTGTTGGATTACAAAGGCTTCTTGAAGATTTGCTATTTGAGCAACTGGTCCTCCCCAAGCGCGAGCCCCATGATTGACGAACGTAAGGTATATGCGAAGGTATGAAAGTCTGGGTATCTTGGAATTATCTTCGAATTCATCTACTTGCAGTGCGTCGGTGGCCGTTGACTCGTCATTTGTCATTATTTTTACATCTTCTTTCTCGGATGTCGACTGATCAGGTTGGATCGGGGTCGAGTCCATGATGCTTGAATTGAAGCAATGGCTGAATGGAAAGGCTGTTAATCCCCACTTATTATTTAACGGCAAAATTATCCATATGATCAGCACATTGTTACAAGCAGTTCTCTCTTTGGAAGTTAAAGCGCACAAATGTCATTATTATCCTGCGACTCGCATTGATTGATAGATCGCAGATCAGTTTTTGTCCCTTTTTTGCAATACTTTTTAAAGATAATTGACCAATCGTGGTTAACCGACGTATTTACTGTAGATCTCGACACGTCGTACAGGCTCAAGTATTATCCCTTCATTGGACGTTTATTGCGTGATTTTCGGCAGCATCATCGTAACCGAAGGACTACGCGTTTACTCTTGATTATTTGCACGACAAATTAAGATTATATTAGTATACCCGTTGTGTTGACTTATATTAGTGACAAAAGGAATTTGGGCTATTCCAATATCAAAGTTAATATACTTATTCGTATACATTCCAATATCAAAGTTAATATGCTTATTCGTATACAGTGTTGAAACTTACATCCTAATATGCTATCGGCCATCTTTACGTCCGTAACAATAATGCAATCTTGCGCCTTTTTTTGCGAAATAGTTACTGTCCGGTTGACCTATCTTATCTATCAGTTGATAGTCTTTTATCGGAATGTCCATTAATGATCAGCAATACATGAATATTCGATGTTTATAAAGACATTGTAAATGGCGCTCAATTACCTCGCGACGATCTACTAACTTAGACCTACTTACTAATGCTACCTGCGAACATGTGACATGTTTTTAACATAGGACTTTGCTGCCTCTAAAATATTGTGTCAACTATGTTATAAGATATTGGCTTACTAGAATATTACTCCCCCTCTCAATACGTGATAACATCTTACATCATTATCATATATGGCGTTCCACGTTGTCATCACCCTAACTTTATTAATTGCTCAAAGTGATCATAATAATTGAGGCTAAAATGTTTATATGCTATAGTCTAGCTTCTTATGAATCTATGTATAAGACTAATACTTTGTTGGTCAGCCCTTACTCGAAACACATGCTTCGACTCTTCGAGGCCTACTTTTAATTAAATTCATCAAAACATCGTTAGTAATTTGGCTCCATTCCTCCTGTGATGCCGTCTCATATTTTTTAGCAATAATTGAATGCTTTCTAATACGCCTTTCCAGTTCTGACTATAAATATTCAATTCTTTCTTTCAATACACCAGTAAAGTCGGGAATGCGAGAAAAAATTCAAGCTCGTGTAAATGATTTGGTCACCGCGTTTAGTCAGACATTTTTAAGTTTAAAACACCAACCCGTTTATTATACTGTTAATAAATCATCTCCGCATTTCATAAGAAGTTAGACTATGACATATGAAAAGTTTAGCTTCAGTTATTATGTACACTTTAGCACTTGTTAGTCAGCATCATAACACGCCTCAGCTATTTCTCTGGTGCTGAGTCAGGCATCGTCAGTCGTAGTCCACCTCTACCAAATGGTCTATCTCTAAAAGGTGGTTCATCAGTAGCCATCAAATACATAATAATAGCACTGCATATATTAACGTCTATTTTCAGAATAGTTGCAGCGTCTGGCTAGGATAGTTCTTTGTGAGTGGTGGAGCCAGCGAAAATTAATACTTCGCGATTGCGGGGACCTCTAAGGCGGAAGGTACGATATTGGATTCTCAGACCAAGATCGCATATGTATACATCGATTAATCGAAATCTTCTATCCCAGGTGCAAAACCATGTTTCTGTCATGTAGACCACAATGCATGATTATTTCACCATGAATGTCATGCAGAGAAAGTGTAATCACCCTCAAATACCATAATTTCATCCTCCACATCAATTAAACGGTTACTCTTATTAGCATGTACTATGACAATCATGTACACTTTTGCTTCTGCGCTCCATAAATATCGAGATCACCTAACATCTGGCGTGATTTCTGAGTTATTAAATAAAACAAATACAGAGTCAGATTAACTATCACTTTAATCAAAAGATTACTATCTTGGAAATATAATCCTTCTCATTTACCTCAGCTCTTCTTGTATGCGGTTCGCAATGTACGCCACACGTGATAAGCATAAGATAATTGTCCAAAATTGACCAATGTGATAAGGAGTCTATAGTTTCTCAGTGCAGATTTGATGTCACCATCCGACAAGTGTATTGAGTGTGCCCCCCTTGACAACCCCGATACTTTTTTCTATGCAATTCAGACACACAGTATTGAGATTTTTTGGGAGACCGCTGTTAATTTTTTTCTTTTGGGCATGAGACGCATCCATAGGATTTTGCTTCTTCGTGCGGGATAAGGGGCAGTCGAGGTGCTTGGTGTGTTCGAGACGTTGGAAGACATGATTGAATTTAGTTTTTTTGTTTTAATTCACATCCACCTGACACACTGCAAGCTCTCCCGTTGGCCAATATTACTTCCCGTACTTCCCAATGTCCATAGTGAATTTTACTGCGTCAAGCCTTTATATCCTGAACAAGGACACCCGCGCGAGTGCGGCCACGACAAACGTGCAAATATCATCCTATTGCAAGCCAGACATATCGCACGCGTAACATCAAAGGTAAATATCCAATGTCTAGAGTCCCTCTGCCAATGCTCGCACTTTTTAGCTAATGTTTCTTGTTCAGGAGTTTAATTCATTCCGGCTCGTTTCATTAGTGTTATTAAAGCGTTTGAGTACAACAGTTTCTGGTTCATCTTTCGACTCGTTTTCTGTTGAATCGTAATGATTCGAAGTATATATTGTCCCGCAACCATCAGATTCGATCTCTTTGAGTTGATCAAAGTCATGTACCAAACAATATTGCTAAGTCGTATACATTGTCCAATATCGTATGGTAGAACACCGACTAAGAATTTCGAGCATATGGCTACCAATAATCCAAATACTATCTACCGTTAATAGTCCTTAGTTAGCTATTTGGGTAAACAAATACAGTCGTTACAATAATCGCGATACACAAATAACCGAGCATCCCGCCCGTCATTGAGTGTCCAGTCATTCCGCTGTGTCATTCACGACGTAATAATAGCGTTTGTCAATAAAGAGTGTTCAATCCATCGTACGTAGACATAAACGAATCCAAAAACTTGTTGCCCGTTGTTTGATCAACCGATCTTGGCGCTTTACAACAACTTTTTTGGTAAGAATGTCTGAATGCTCATCACATAACTAGTGGTTGTATCAAGTCGATAATTATCCAAACAATCAATAAACACAATGCATAATCGAATTGTTTCCTTTGTCATGATTATGACTCATCAGTATCATATGTTGTTTCAAATGGAATAAATTTTCCGGCATGAATGGGTAGACCAAGTAAAGGTATAATGTCATTATATCCCTCAATGTATTCAAAGGGAATCCATTTTGTTTCGTAGCTGTGACGTCCACATATGCACCACACAGGACTAAATCTGGTATTTCCCAGAGCGGAACCCATATCGAGAATAACAATAGTGAATGCGTTTGTGAGCAACCATGTAATAGTTCTCTTCATGTCTGTAAATCCATGTATAAGCTCGTTGCGACATCTAAGCCATATGAAGTATTTTCTAAAGTTACTGACACGCTGTTTTCGTACATGCGTGTTGGAAGTGCGCATATTCTAGCAAGCTCGCACACTTCCAAGGCATAGCAACACTATCATTATTACATCAACGCGAATGCTCATGCGAGTAAGGGGGGTGTTATGTTTCAAGTAGACCATTCATTCTAGTGTTACATTGCACAATGACTTTGTTTATAAGTGCGGCTTTCACGATGGAAAAATTTCGCTTATATATAAAAACCTACCAGCACCAGTTGAACACTCCCAAACTCTTTATCATGTCAACAAGGCCCTCCTTTGCGATACAGCATCTTGGAACATTAAGGCACATATGCAAGTAAGTTTTTTTTTTAATCAGTCTAAACCGTAAGGTAATTCTACTCAAGGTCATTCCCCAGTAACGAACCAGCTAATATTGCTACCAGGTTTTTGTCGCCTAATACGACCACCGTATTACAACCTGCCGAAGCTGGCATCGGCTTGCTACGAGCAACAGCAGCCAATCCGATAAATATGAATGCGTTCATCAATCTCCGAACGCATTCACATTATACAGAAAGGAGATACAAGCAAGGCTTATCTCTAAAAGTAAGTGCAACAGATTATCTCGTAGAAATTGCAATATAAGACATGCTATTTACCAACGTCTCAAACGTGTTACTGTAGATGCGGATCTTCAAACTGTCCTCCCACTGAGGGACTTCATACGGTAAAGTAAGTGCAACAGAGTATCTCGTAGAATTAAGGATAATATGTAAAGCACGCTATTTACAATGTCTCAAACGTGTCACTATAGATTCTTCTTGCGGCCTTCTTTGACATCAACCGCGTTGGCGACGACAATATACAGTTTTACGGATTTACGCAAAATGGTTTTTGATATTATGGGAATAGCCGGTGAAACGATAGACATGTATATAAGGACTTGTACTTGTATTTACCTGTATTATTAGAGTAGCTCTTTGATACTCAATAAATTGTATTTATTACAAATAATTCGTTTTCCCTGAATCATCGACAGTAGCGTGAAAACGAAAATCCCTACTTTCGAAAGACGTAACTAATGGCATATACGATTGCTAATTAATTGTCTATAATAATAAGCGCGCATTTTACTTTTTCGTATGGTAATTTCCATCAACCGTAGAAATACTGCAGTGTAATTAGTATTAGCAACCGAGAATTCGCGTATACAAGATCGGACGTGCTGACTTGTCGTTTACAGATCAATTGTAGAATTTGTCGCTGTTGATGACGACATAATTCAAAAAAGTAATACAAGTGAATCTCGATATAACGACATCTTGTTATAACGACAGAAATCGTAGAACAAAAAATCTATATTGCTTAGTTGTCGTATATAAATTATTCTCGATATATGACCATTTGGGTTGTTGGAACCGGGCGTATATCAAAACCTACT